AAGTTTCTGCTAGATGTGCTTGTCATTGTGAATGTGTTTTTTTCTCGCTCCTTGCTTCTTCTTTTTTTTTTTTTTTTTTTTTTTTCCTTACTCTTCCCGGGTGAGGTGCTGATTAGCAACGCAGCGGTCGATTTCGAGTTCTACTCGTCCAACGGGCTGGGTGCTATCCAGGGCCAGGGATATATCTATCGGAATCTCAACAAGTAAGTCCACTGTTTCAGTCATTGGTGCAGAGTCGGGTGCTCATGATCGACTGCAGCACCGATCGCCCCCGTCTCGTGCGAGTCGTCTCGGCTATCAACGCCACCGTCCACGACTTGATCCTGGTGGACAGCCCTAAGTTCCACTTCGTGCTGGACTTTGGCGTGAACGTCGAGGTCTACCACTTGACGATCCGCGGGGCGAATCTGGGCAGTTACGACGGCATCGATGCTATCGGTACCAACTACTGGATCCATGACAACGAGGTTTGTTTGCTGTCCAGCCGGTTCCCCTACCCCGTCCTGCTGATGATCCTGATAATGTGCAGGTCACCAACCGCGACGAATGCGTCTCCGTCAAGAGCCCCTCCCACCACGCCCTGGTCGAGAACCTGGTCTGCAATCAGGCCGGGTCGGGGATCTCCATTGGCAGCTTGAACGTCTCTGCTGAGATCTCGAACATCGTATGTCCTCTGTATTTCTCCCCATCTGGTCGACCACAAACTGACGGATGTGGGGCGGGAAGGTCGCCAAAAACATCAGCATCATCCAAGGCAACAACATCGCCTTCATCAAGACCTACCCCGGCGGCTCCGGGTACGTCACCAACGTCACCTTCGAGAACTTCCGGTCCAAGGCCAGTCTGTACGGGCTGAGCGTGAACCAGTACTGGCAGAACACCTTCGAGCCGGACACGGGCGCGGTGGCGTTGAGCAACCTGGTCTTTAAGAACTTTTCGGGTCCGTCGATCCCTCCAAGAGCCTCCAAGCCCCCTCCCTCTCCAGTTCTAATGCTAATGGCAAACAGGCTCCGTCGCGCAAGGCACCGTGCGCCCGCCCCTCTACCTCATCGCCAACGACCTCACCTACGCCACGAACGTCACGATCGAAGATTTCACCGTCTGGACCGAGTCCGGCACCACCGTGCTCAACAAGATCAACAACGTTTTCGGTACGGGGGATGATTCCTACGGCGCAAACGACGGGATCAAGTCCCTCGCGCCTGGGGAGACCCCCACCACGTACACGAGCACGTACACCATCACGGCGTCGCCGACGGGGTGGACGGCTCCCGCGTCGCCGACCTGGGCGGTGCCGAGTACCGGCTATGGGAGTGAGTGTTTCCCCCCCCCCCCCCCCCCTTTCCCCCCTTTTGGTGGGCTGGCCGGGTGCGTAGTAAAGTTGGACGATGATGGCTAATCTGGTGCCCTCTGTGCAGCTGCGTCGCCAATTCCGGTGTACACTCCCAAGCCGCTGTGGAGGCCTGGCGGTGTGGATTATGATCTGCACTATTGGGGGAGCTTCTAGAGGAGGGACGGGTGGTCACTGCTTTGGGGGGGGGTTGGGATGCGGAGGCATCGACCGATATGTAGAGCGGCCACCTCGCGATTCAATCGACGAGTCCCCCCGGGGGTGATTGTGGTCTATAATTGCTAGAATTGATTGCTGTCTGTCGACATGTTTTCTGCTTGAACCCTCCACTGCTGCGCTGCGTCGGCGCTCGGGTAGTGCCTCAGATCGCCTCACGTCAATAACTAGATGCACCCTTTATCCCACGGTTTTCATCACCGGCCTTCCATTGGAGCCGCAGTACATAAGGTAATCATGTCCTTCCACCGTCACCATTGAGCTTGTCGGTGACTTCGGACTTCAGCGTACCCTTTCTCCATGGTTTTCCAGACGCAATAGCACAACCAGAGAGAGTCAATTGCTGTGCATTGCGCCCAGCGATCAGAGGGCTCTTTCACTCACGGCCATGGCTCACGGGCTGCTGATCCAATGGTGGCGATGACGGTTGTAGCGGCGGGATCGGTGTAGGTGGTCGGACTCGTCAGGCCATGCGCAACGACTTCCACAGCTCCAAGACTGAACTCCTTCAACCGTAGTCGAGGACCAAGGTACCACCCTCCACTAGGCAGTTGCTGGTCGTCGATGCGCCGCTGGCCATTGGTAGACGAAGGCGGGGTAAATGGCCAAGCTCAGGTGACCCCATAGCAGATGGGTCACGTCGGGCTCGACGCCCTGCGAGATTGCATACAGCCAGCAGAGAGAGGAGATCAGGATTCCGAGGATAGCGAGGCGGGCGACGAGGGGGCTGGAATCCATTGTTTCAGACAGTATGTTATACTGCGACGGTGCGGGTCGACAAACCGGCGGGGAAGTATATAGAATGAAATACAATCGGGTAAGAACTCGCTGCTTAAATACCTGTCGGACGTCTTGGAGTGGGAGTCATGTCTCACTGCAGTCCTCTAGCTCTAGGTAGCCTCTTATTTAGCTTCTCGCAGTATCCTCGGCTTGCTGTCCACCCATCCATGGACCCTCTTTTTCCGAGCGATTTTCATAGTCCCTCAGAACGCTGTGTGAAGCAGTAGAAGGCACAGAATGAGCCGAGCTCTCGCTTTTTCAATAGACAACAGTCGAGATGCATTGGTCTAAAGCACAAACTTTCATGATTTCGATTCTGTTCACCCGAACCCAAGAGGGCCCGCCCGGCGTCAGCCCAGAGTTAGGGCTTGCGCCGCGCCACCTTCAATTCTTTATCACCTTGCCCTGCCCATTGCTCCTCGGCTCCGAACCCGCCAAACCTTCCACGTACGTATGTAATGACTCGAATCCTATTTGATCAGTGCTTCAGAGAACATCATTGGAGTGATCCGATACAGAGGGATCCGGAACCTCTCCGAGCTGCGCCAAGATCCGACGGTCCGATCCCTGCTGTCCCCACCGGCCACCGATTGACTGGTGATCGTCGACCCTGAACGAGGGCCAAGATGGCGCTTACTTAGGTCTGTCGACATGCGCGTTAGTCAAGCGAACTCCCCCTACAGGTAAATCCCCCATCGATTTCGTACACTGCCAACTCATGCATTTTCCTGTTTGGGATTGGAGTCTTCCCTAAGGTCGACTACCTATCTTCTGAACCGTTAGCCCCGTTTCCTGATGGTGGACCCTGTAAACACTTTCTTTGTATGACTTGGGCCAAGGAGCTCAGACGATCACGAATGCGGATTCCGTCTCGACGCGCGATTGGCGCATGGAGGTGGTGGGGGCTTGGGGTCTGGCAGGGGACCTAGAGGAGGATCAGTCAATCCTTGCCATGCGTTGAGGTACTGGAACAACCATAGAGGCAGAATTATCTTAGGTGGAAGCATGGCAGCCGCAGCATCGAAACCACCGTGAAGAGTTTGCGGAAGAAAGACAACGCAGAGTTGTCGCGTGTGGAGGACAGGCCACAGGCGGAAACACCCTCAACTCGCGCGCAGACGGGAATCTCAATTTTTCTGGAATAGAAACCGCACACATCTAGAAATCACAAGCCAACCTACATTCACATCTCGCATGCATCTGTACAACCAACCCCACACCATCCCCACTCCCACTTACTGCACCGTCAACCCCTCGACCCCGACCAACTCCGCCTCGCGGTTCAGCGCCTCAATCTCCGCCGCCGCCAACGGAATCCCCTCGGCCAACCGCCGCTCACGCATCTCCCACTCAATCTCGCCCGGATAGTAAATCCGCTCGACGCCCTGCATCTTCTCCCCGCCCACCACCCGCTGATACAGATAATCCATCCGCGCCTTGAACTCGTCCAACCCCAGAAACAAATCCGGCTTGACGGCGACAATGAAATGCCCCACATCCGCCGCACGGGTCGGGTCATAGGGGCCCGTGACATGGCCGGCAAACGCACTGCCCGAGAACACGCCGGAGAACACATCCATCATGATGGCGAGCGCGGAGCCCTTGGGCCCGCCCATGGGCAACATGACGCCCTCCAGGGCCCGGGCGGGATCCGTGGTGCGGTGGCCCTCGGCATCCAGCGCCCAGTCCGCCGGGATGGGCTCCCCGCGGCGCAGGGCCTTGTAGATCTTGCCGCGCGCCGCGACGCTGGGCGCCATGTCGAGGATGAAGGGCGGCGCGGCGCCGGCGGGCGCGCCGCACGCGATCGGGCTGACGCCCAGGAGTTTCTCGCGGCTGCCCCAGGCGGGCAGGGCGGGCGAGGAGTTGGTGAACACCAGGCTCATCAGCCCCGCGTCGACGGCCTGCTGCACCAGCCACGCCGACATGCCGAAGTGGTTGCTGTGCTTCACGGAGACGAGGCCCACCCCGAACTCCTGGGCCATCGCGATGGCCCGCGTCATGGCCAGGTGCGCGGACACGAACCCGAACGCGTTGTGCCCGTCGACCTGCGCCACGACGGGCGTGGTCTGGGTGAGAGTGGGCACCGCGCGCGGGTCCAGCACCCCCTGTCGGATCCGCGCCATGTAGCTCGGGATCCGGTTGCTGCCGTGCGTGTCGACGCCCCGGAGGTCCGCCGCGATCAGGCAGTCGGCGATGGTGGTGGCGTCGGCGGCGGAGACGCCGTTGGCTGTGAGGATGCGGTGCACGCAGGCGGAGAGGGAGGTGTGGGGGATTTGGTGGAGGTCTGTCATGTTGGGGGCTTGTGTAAGTGTGATTTTGTTTGGTGTGAGGTGTGAGGTAAGGTAAGAATTGAGTGAGGAAGGTGAGTGTGTTAATTGGGGTGGAGTAGTTGGATCAATACTTATTTCAATGCTGCGAGTGACATCGTCGGATGTTCCCCGCGCGGGCGGATCCCGTCCGAGCTCGGATGGCTTCCGCTGGGTTCGCGGGATCTGATTGGTTGCGGGAGGTACGGTATCGGCGGTATACATCTATACATCCCCAAGCCATCATTCCAAGTCCACGGTTAAGTAAATAGTATAGGAACCCATTCTATGGACAGTCAGGTTAAAGTATCCCGTGTCTAAGTTTCCTAGCTCTTAACATCAGCATGCTCTACAGCACCGCTCGCACCCTCTCACCCCCCATCTCCTGCATCACCGCCACAATCCGCTCCAGCTCCCGCGCCGACCTCGGCACATCATGCCCCGAGTCATGCACCAACGACCTCGTCACCCCACCCTCACACAGCTGAATCGCCCAGGACGACGCATCCCGCAGCCCCTTCGGCTCGTTCCGTCCCCAGACATGCAGCGTCGGGATCTGGACCCTCGCCGCCACGACCGGCGGATACAGCAGCAGCGGCGTCTCCTCGACGGGCTTATCCAGGAAGAACGCACGCGGCTCGCGCGTGATCGGATGCACGCAGTCCAGCAAGCGACTGATCGCCGTCGTCACCGTGCGCAGTCGGTCCGGCAACGTGTCCAGCTGCGCGTAGTCGCACGACCGGACCGTGCTCCACTCCTCCGGCCGCAGGCCGGGATAGAGGTCCGCGACGAAGGTGCGGTCGGCCGAGCAGGCGAAGATGCACGAGAAGAAGACGGCGAAGCGGACGGGGTACTCCGCAGGCGCGGCGCCGACCGCTGCGAAGCGCTCGAGCAGATACCCCAGGGCCACGGCGGCCCCGTGGCTGAAGCCGAGGACCCCGTCGAAGGGGCCCTGCGTGCGGAGCGTGTGGTCGAGCAGGGTGTAGCTAGCCCGCGTCTGGTCGGGCGACATGCTCCGGGCGTAGCAGTTGAACGGGCCGGGGAACTTGTTGGCCAGGCCTGCAGCCACGTTAGTCCAGCTCAAGAAATGGCAGATGGAGAGACGTGCCCACGGCGGGATGGCACTCGGTCGGTCCGCGCAGGAAGACGAACTCCCAGTCCGGGGGCGCGTGTTGGCGCACGCCCGCCAGTTGCTGGTGCATGCTGGCCGGGTTGGTGCCGTATCCGTGGAGGCAGAGGATGCGCATCGTGACGGTGGATTGGTACGGTGAATATTCCTCGCTGGTCACTTCGAGCTTTCGGGGGAGAAAAGCCTCGCAATCTGGTTATAAGTCACCCCTGCAGTGGCAAGCCTTCAGCCCCGGTCGGCATGACTTGCCATTTCAGCCTCCTCTGCAGCATCGGCTAAAATACCACCCAACTGTGGGCAACCCAAGCGATACGAACTGGTTCAGCTGAGATCAACCCCGTACTCCGTGGATTATGGGACTATCGATTTGTCGGGCTGCTGGTCCGATTGCCATCGACTCGTGTGCGACCCGCTTTTCTGCAGGCGATAAGCTCGTCAGCGCCAGCATCGGGTCAGACTTCTGCAGGCCGTGCTGTGGATTCCAAATCATGACCAACGCAAGCCGAGGGAGACACAGCTGATGCGGTGTGATAACCACTGCATTTGGGGGTCGGATTGTGACAGCCGACTAGGTAGTTGTGGTGTTGTGGTGTTGTGGTGTTGTGGTGTTGTCGTGAAATCAGCCGCGCGGCAGCCCAGCGGGCGGGTTTAGTTTCCCTGCCGACCCAGACAGCGGGTGGGAATGAGTGCTGTGATGATATTCATGATACATGCAACAATCACTGCACCGACCCATACTCACACCCATACCCCAACCAAGCCCTAGCACACTCACCCCCTCCCTCAAGCATCCAGACAAAGACCCCAAACTACGCTTAGGGCACCCAACCCATCCACTGCACCCCAATCCTCAATGCAACCATCAACCACATGAAACCCCTTGCCCCAAAGCTCCAATCCCACCTCCCTCACGGCCAGAGGCTATATACTTTTTACATCCCGTCCACGCGCCCGAGACGATCCCGCAGTGTGGCTACTGCTCCTGCTACTGCTCCTGCTCCTTGGATGGGGCTGATGTAGGGCTGAGATGCTTTCCCAGGTACTGTAACTGTACGGTCCACACCCGTTCTTACAAGCGGGGCTGTGTATTAGGACAATAGACATAAAAATGCCAAGCACGCTGAGCACAGCAGACATGGATAACCCCTTATACGACTGATCTTTCATCTTTCTGATCAATCCAGGGAATATGCAGGTGGATGGTAAGCTCGGGGAGAGAGGCCCTCGGTGTGTACAGGACAGCATCATGAGCCTAGAACGCGGCTGGGTGGTTGAGTTGGTGGTTGCCGTGAGCTCGGGACTTCGACTGAATATCCGGAGAGTTATTTGGCGAATAAGCATGGTACCAAGCGGAATACCGTGATATCTGTCAGGGTAGATAGGGTGGGGTTGGATTTTGATGTGGATGGTGTTATGCATCTGTTGTGCAGGCGGGATTCGGTCATTGTGCATGTGGGGAAGGTGGAGGGGGCGATGTGGAGAGAGGTGGGGAAGGGTTACATGATCATGTGACCGATCTTGGTGTTTGCGCGTGAGGGTCAATTGGCGAGGCTTGAGCAGAGAGAGTCAAGATCATTTAGAAGAGGTTTAGGGTTTGTATAGGATATGTGTTTGTGGAGCAGGTATATTTCTTTGGTCGTCAAGGGTGGGTTAATGGTGATGCCCCCGGTAGACTGAAGTTGATGAGAGGCATGAATTAGGTATTTTCTTCAACGGACGGACGAGCATTGTCTCGTGGAGAATACTGCAATGTACTATATATCGTCTGATTCATGCCTGGAATCGAGATATATGCTACACCATCCCCGCGTCTTGCAACTCTCGCCCCAGACGAGAAGTTCCTGAGTCTAGGTGTAGCGTAAGGTAATCAGCCGCGTGCTAATTATAGTCCTCCACGGGATATACCCTAGTGGTACGAGTAGCAAAGTGCTGACAGCCAGACAGGGACCCCTCCAGAGGCTAATCAGGCTGTCAGCCTTCCTGCGAGCTGAGTGGGTCTTCCACCTGAATCTACAGCTCCAGTCACCTCTCCCCCTACCCACTTTCTACAAGTCAATAGATGCACGGAAAAGTGGAAGTAGATGCAATCAATTCTAGGTATCTATAAATGCAAAGCCCGCTAAGGTCCAGTCACACGCCGCCCGCTTACTTGCCGAAGACCTTGAAGCGGTCCTCCAGGGGCGCGAAAGCCTTCTCGCCGGCCGGGGCGGTGGGGGTGCCAAAGACCAGCTGGGCGTCGAGCTTCCAGGAGGCGGGGAGGTTCCACTGCTTGGCGACCTGCTCGTCGATCAGGGGGCTGTAGTGCTGGAGGTTGGCGCCGAAGCCCTCGGACTCGAGGGCGGTCCAGACTGGATGCTGTTAGCGAGCCACGAAAACAAAAGTCAGAAAGCGAGGGGGACCGACTCAGGTACTGGGCCATGGCGTTGGACTCAAGAGCCCAGGGGTTGAAGTTGTCGGCGTAGATGGCGAACTTCTCCTTGATGGGGGCCAGGGACTCGTAGTCGACGAAGAAGAGGACCTGACGGTGTTAGTGTGCAGACAGAGAGGAAGATCCGGGGGTAGACGTACAGTGCCGTAGCCGTTGCGGAAGGCGTTCAGCTTGGGCTTGGTCTGGGTCTCGAAGGTCTCCTTGGGCACCTGGCCGGCGGCGACCAGCCCCTCGAGGGCGCTGATGGCGATGTCCCACAGCTTCTGGTGCTCCTCCTTCAGCAGGAGCACGATGCGGCCGGTCTGGGTGTTGAAGGAGCTGGGGGTGTGCAGGACGGCCTGCTGGACGAGCTGCTCGATGGCCTCGTCGGCGATGGGGCTCTCGGCCTTGAGGGTGTAGATGGAGCGGCGGGCCTTGGCCGCCTCCAGGATGGCGGTGGTGGCGGGGTTCTTGAACTCGGTGACGGTCATTGTGGCGGTGGGGGTGTGATTGAGGAGAGAGGAATTGGATAGAGAGCAACTGGAGGGTATCAAGAGTGTTGCGTAGTGTTGTGTTGGGATGAGTGGAAAATGGAGGGGGCAGCGACGACTCCTCCCCCACTATATAGGCCATCGACCGGACGACCGCCACCACATTGTTCTTGTTTTCTGCCGTAATTCCAGGCGAGAATTGTGTGCCTGTGGGTGCCTGTGGGTGCCTGCTGGTCCGGAAAGCCCCCCCTGATCCCACCCACGCATTATGCACCGATTCTTCCCCCCCGGCCCCACCTTATTCAATGCTTATCAAATCGCGGAATCATCCCATGCTGCCACTCCCTGCAACTCCATTTTTCCTTGGTCATCGCTGACTGACAAGTCACAAGTCCCAAGTGCCAACAGGATTCCGCAGGTGGAACCTTCCAGACACCACCTGCAACACCCGACCCGATCTCCCCACATGGCAGTGCAGAATCGAAGAGCATCGTTCATACTAATCCAAAATTGGTATCCGACGAGTGCGATGCCTGCTCGCAGCCTGAGGCAGCCATCAAAGTCCGTGGCCGCTCCGACGGAGGCCTCGGACTTACGGGCTTAGGGGCTTACGGCACTCAGCGACTTCCGAGTCCGTTGCGCTAACTGCACATTCCGCCATCGCCTCCTCCTACTATCAATGTCCGGATCGACCCGTCATGGATTTGTCAGCTTCCCGGCCCTTTCACATAATCAGCATCATCACTGACCTACCGATCTGATAAACAAAATCCCTCAGCCCAGGGCTGCCACAAGGCACTAAGGCGCAGATGCAGGCTTCTTATTGGGTCGGAGAGCCGATGGTCGTCGGTCCCTTGGGTGCCGATTAGGATTAGTATACCTACTAGTACCGAGGCCGAGGGGATGCTGCCAGACCCAGAACACATTTGTTTATCTACAGCACTAAGAACTTGGATGAACACCACCAGTCACCACCCTCAGCGGGTACGCAATCCACCCTCGCAACTCCACCGGCAACGACGCCCTCACCCCCTCCACAACATGCACATCCCACCCCCTCATCAGCCAACACGACTGCATATCCCGGAGTATGATACTCCAGTGCGCGTACACCACCAGCGCATACGGGTCTCTCGCCTCGAGCAACGCAATCATCTCCTCTCGCGCCCGATAGATCCACCCCATGGCTAGATGCATCAGATGGATGCCGTCCTTGCCGGCACTGCGGAACGCGTATGCCTCCTGGAGAATGGACATCAAATCCTCGATCGAGGCGGCATACACCTCGCAGGCGGCAGCATCACTCACTTGCGACGGGATCCAGGACTGCAGAGCCTGGATCTGCGACAGATGCTGGTCCAGCTCCGTCTGCAGAGCCGGGCTGACCTCCTTGATACTATCGTCAGGGACCGGAGTCAGCACCCCCGTGAAGATGCGTTCATGGTTCGTGGTGAGAATGGACCGCACCCCGCGGAGCAACACCAGCCACTCGGACTGGCCGCGCTGGCTAAACACCAGATACTCGCCCACGCGGGGTCCCCGGCCAAAGTAGGCCAGACAGATCAACGCCGCCGCCATGTAGATCAGCTGGCAATTCGCCGGGTTCAGCAGCGCCAGCACCGCGGTGACCGACCGCACCCCGAAGGTGAAGTGATCGTCCGCCTGGGCGAGGTACTCCGCCCGCGTGTCGGGGTTCTCGGCCGCCAGATGAAGCGCCGCCAGCGAGAGAATGAGATGCAGGATCGAGGGGAAGGAGATCCCCCAGCGGGGCACGTGGTTGGACCAGACGCCATGCGTATCCCCTTTCTCGTCGGCCAGAGTCTTGTACGCCGTGGTCATGTAGTGGTGATATAGTTTGAGATCCGCGAACGAGATCCCGCCGGGCGGCTGGCTGGCGGCTAAGTCACACTGTGTTCCGGTCGACACTGGCCCCGACCCTCGAGCCTCGGAGCCGGATCTGGATGCGGCAGACGAGTCTGTCTGGGTCTCAGGTTGGTACTTCGATCGACGAAAGCGATATCGCCGCGTTGCAGTGCTAGAGGTGGTCGGAGCCGCAGCCGGGAGGATGTAGTCGCAGTCGATGGAATGGCGCACACAGGGACTGCACGCGGGCTTTTTCTCATCACACTGTGAGTACTTAGCCCTTGAACGCACCGGCAGCCGCTCAGGGATGAAGCAAGCGAACAAGCGAAAAGCAGAGAGGCCCATTCTCTCGACCGATTCTCGTGGATACACCAAGGGGCGACAGCGTAGAGAAAGAGAGACAACGCACCTTCACTCGTCTTCGCTTGCAGTTCTGACATCCCAAGCGAGATTTATTGTGCGATCGCCGAGAGCGTACTCGTGTTGAACCTGACTCGGCCATGACGAGGCATGCATGCAGTGGCGGGAGGAGTCTTGTAGTATGTGGATCGTATTCGTTTCCCTTTGACCGAGTTGGGGGGAAGAAGGATCTGAGTGATCGCCTCAGGCTCCAATGTGGCACCCTCATCACGTGTGTGCATCACTTGGGTCGGTTATATTGAGCTTCGCAGATGATTGGTGGTACACATGGTTGCCTAACCCATGGTTTCACATCCATGAACGTGCAGCCATCGCTGTTGGCGTTTCATCCTGAGCATCCCATGCACTGCACTGCACTGCACTGCACTGGTGCTTCACAGTGGTGCAGTTCTCGAGGAAACCTCTTATCTTATCGAGTTCCGGGATCCGATCCGATCGCGGTGCCATGCTCGATTAATTCAGCCAATGACATTCCTGCCCGCAGGGATATCATCACGACATGAAAGCACCATTGCAGTAATCGAGGGGTTGACTGCCGTATATTAATGCATCGACGGCTCCATTGCGCCACGGAGTCATCCGCTCGGGGTTTCTCAGACTCAGACTCATCGTCTCCCCGGCTGCAACCATGGGCAACAACATTTCCTACACCACGAACGAGGCCCATCTGTCCATCCCCAACACCGAGCTGACAATCAAGGGCCTGCAAAATGGCACGCAGTCCCGGCGTTTCACCGGGATTCCCTACGCCCAGCCTCCAGTTGGACCTCTGCGCTGGCGCAAGCCCCAGCCCCTGTCTCTCTCCCAATTAGCCCAAGAATCATCAACCTTCGACGCAACGACCTTCGGCCCCGTCTGCCCACAAGCCAACTACTCCAAGTCTGTCAGCGAACATGTCCCCGTCCACACCTACAGCGAAGACTGCCTTCGCCTGAACATCTGGACGCCGGTGCCCGACCCCGCAGACCCGAACAAGAGGTACCCGGTAATGATCTGGTTCCACGGCGGGTGGTTCCAGGTAGGGGACCCCAGTCAGGAATTCGGAATGGATCCGACGGAACTCATCTCCACGGGAGGCGTGAACTGCGTCTTCGTTGCGGTGGGGTACCGTCTGAACATCTTCGGCTTCCTGGCCGGGGACGCACTGCGCCAGGAATCCGGCGGCCGGGAAGTCGGAAACTACGGCCTCTGGGACCAACGGCTGGCGATCGAGTGGGTGTCCGAGAACATCGCACACTTCGGGGGCGATCCGGAGAACCTCATCCTGTCCGGGCGAAGCGCGGGGGCGTACGCGGTGCAGGCGCAGGTGCTGTTCGACTTCCGCGCCGGGCCCGACGTGATCGACGCCCGGTCGCGGGACCGATTTCGGCGGCTGGTCATGTATTCAAACGCCATCCCAACACAGCCCAAGACCCCCGAAGACTGTCAGGTGCAGTTCGATGAGGTGTGCACATACTTCGGAGTCGGGACGGAGGTCCCAGGCGAGGAGAAGCTGGCGCGACTGCGCGGGATCGAGGCCAAGGCGCTGTGCGACGCCATCATGAAACTCGAGCATCACACCTTCCGCGCGGTCACGGACGGCGTGTTCATCCAGCCGGGGATCTTCGAGTACTTCCGGGACGGGTCGTTCGCGGCCGAGTTCCGCAGACGGGGTCTGCGCTTGTTCATCGGCGAGGTGCGCGACGAGAACACTCTCTACGCGGTGACGAACAGCCCCGAGCCCAATCGGGAGTCGTTCCGGCTGCAGGTCGAGAACTATTACTCGCCGGCCACGACGGAGCGGGTGCTGCGGCATTATGAACTGCCGGCGACGGAGCAGAAGGAGGAGTGGCAGGCGGTTTTCGGAAATCTCATTGCCGATGGCCAGGTGCGGGCGCCGTCACGGTTTCTGGTCAAGAATCTGCTGGACCATGGCGTGAGCATCGACGACGTCTGGCGCTATCTCATCGCCTACCGGCTGTCGTTCATCACGGACAAGGTCGCCCCGGCGTCGTTCGGAGTGAGCCATGCGATGGACCGGCCGATCTGGAAGTAAGTCTCTCCCGCACTCGTGTAGTATCCGCTCGCTGACAAGGTTAGCTACTCGATCATGCACGGACCGACCCCGGAGGAGACAGTGTTGCTGGATACTTGGATCCGGGACCTGGCTGCTTTCGTGAACAACGAGGCGGGTTACTCCTATGGCACACACGTCGCAGATGAGTATAAGGTGATGACTGCAGAGGGCAAGATTGAGATTCAGAAAGATACCCGGTGGGAGCCGTTGCTCAAACTGATGGATGTATTCTCTGGGTTCGAAGGTGCTGCCTAGTTTGCCGGTGGGTTCTCCAGCTGGCTTCGACCTCACCCGAATAGGGCGGCAGCTGACCGCCCGGGCGTCTGGGACACTGCCCAGAATGAGTGAAAAGCCCGCTTTGAACGCATAGTTATGCTAATAGCTCAACAAGCCTTGGTTGTGACCAAGTCAAATACTAGACAAAGAAGTGTTCCTACTGTACGTCGTAGCCTTGCTATTAGCTCGCAAAGCGAGAGTGTAATCCAGAGGTGTAATCCGTAGACGAAGTGTAGTTGTAGCCAGCCACTCGAGGCTAGAGTGGAGTATAAATTCTAAAATTGGCAACTGTTCCCAGATGCCATTCTATAGTCTATCAGTCTATCTATATACAGATGTATATCTAGTGCATTCATGACGCGCGATGACGGTTTTCGCCGCATCATCACACAGACGAATCCTACTCCAAACTATTTTCTCTCATCGGCAAGGACAAAGTGGAAGACACCGGGCGCCTCGCTCTTGGCATTTCCTTTGTCGGAGACATAGATGCACTTTCTGAAGGTCGTCATGAGAGAGTACAGGAAGCTCTCCTGCTTCTCCTCGTGGTAGTTTGCGCCGAGCATGGGCTGGATGGCCTTGGTAGCCTTCTCCGCGTGGTAGAAGGGGATGCGGCTGAACAGGTGGTGAACAACGTGGTAGTCAATGATCTCGTGGAAGAAGTGACGTCCGATAAAGCCAATGCTGCGGTCGATGGTGGCCAGAGCGCCCTTGGTGTAGGTCCAGGTCTCGGCGCTGTAGTGCGGGACGGCAGGGTGGGTGTGCTGGAGGTACGTGATGGCAACTAGTAATGTTAGTTCGCTGGCTGGATCACAGATTTGAGACGGTGTACTCACTCAGCCAGTGGTGGACCCAGAGGTAGGGAATCACGTAGAGGAGCACAACGTTCCAGCCCCCGATCTGGGTGGAGGCATAGTAGAGAACAGATCCCATGATCAGCAAACCCAAGTCAGACAGCGCAATGCTGACCCACTGAGCGCGAGTGAAGATGGGGCCGAAGGGGTTGAAGTGGCTGGAGATGCCCTTCAGGGGACGGTTCTCGGGCAAACTCTTGGGGCCAGCGGTGACATTCAGGAAGAGGTACAGCTGCCAGCCCATGAGCTGGTGGCCGATCAGCTGGATGAAAGAGACAATCGGGGTCTCCTCAGTCAAGTGCTTCAACTGCTCGATGCGCACGTTCTTCTTCTTGGCCAGCTGCGAGTCGGTCCAGGGCACAAAGACCGTATCCTTCTCCATGTGACCGGTGTAGCGGTGGTGGCGGGCATGGGTGATCTTCCAGGAGAAGTAGGGCACCATCAGGAAAGAGTGCAGGGCCCAGCCGACGAAGTCGTTCAGCTTCTGGTGGCGGGAGAAAGCACCATGGCCGCACTCATGAGCCAAAATCCACAGTCCCGTGCCAACGCAACCCTGGAAGAAGCCATAGACAGCCCAGGCAATGATTCGCAGCTCCAAGGTAGGGAGGAGGTAGATGTGGAAGGCGGCGTAGGTCAGGATGGCGCAGTAGAGGATGTCACGGGCAACGTAGAGGAGGGAGGTGACGGCCGAGGAGTCGAAGCATTCCTTGGGGATAGCATTTTTGAGATCTTGCAGATTGGGGACGGTGTCATCTTCGACTTCCTGTGGAAAAAAAAGTGTCAGTGGTGATTTCGACAGCAAAAGCCTTTTGGGCATCCATACCACGACCGTCACAATGGGCTCCTTCTTGCGCAATTCGGTCAAAGTCATCTTTGCAGACTATGAAACCCACCGAGTGTCGAACAGAGGGACAGAGGAAATTGAATTGTGCGAAAGAAAAGCCGTGTGTAGCTTTCCGAATTTTGTAGGACGGCCATAAGAATGAATAGGGTCTATGATCAGCGGCCACTGAGGGAAACCCAATTAGGCGCATCGTGTTCCTGGCTTCTTCTGGAAGGCCACTCGCCACACCCATAGGCTATGAGAAAGCTGCGGTGGAACCACGGAACAGTGTCAGATTCTGTATCCACGCTAACTGTCAATATCTCGGCGCCCCCTGAGTGGCTGGATGCCTTTCTGAGACTGTCGTGGTTTGCTCCGCCGGTCCAATTCGAGGCCCTCCCACGGATTTTGCCCGTGCACTGTGGAGGTCGGATTCCCAACAGTTTCACAGGGGGGGAATCGGATCTGGAGAAAAACTTAGATTTTTGAGAACGACTCGGCGCGAAAACAAGGATATTTTCCTTGTTCAAGCCGGGGTTATCGATAAGCCCTGAAATTTCCACGCCGCAGGGGGAATGTCCCCTGAATGTGATAGATTGATTTGCGGGCTATAGATAGACGGGGAGTAAGGGATGATCTCCTGCAAGCCTGCAAGCCTGCAAGCCTGCAATGGAAGGCCAGTCTCCTCCACCGCCCTCGCATGCCCCCAGTCCCCTTTGGGTTTAGTGCCGCATTTTCTGCCTTAAGGTTTTTTTTGGTAGTTTTTGGTACTTTTTAGTTTCAACGTTTTTTCATTCTCAACAATTTTTAGCGAGTGGTCGATTTTCGACTCGTATCTTTCTTTCTACTCCGTAGGCTTTCCTTCTCGGCCGTCTGCATGCCGTCTGCATGCCGTCTGCGTTCTGTCTTAGGGCTTGTCGAGACACGGGACAATTCGATCTTTGCCTATTGGCCAGCGCTACACCTATTGTATTGGTCTTGCCCTTGCGGCATAAATTCGGGATTTGCATGACTTCCCCGGGCCTATACGGAGTACGGTGGACAGGACGGTGTACAGCGTCGGAAGAGCTCTCAGCAGATACTCCGAGTATCTCCATTGAATCTTGGCCAATATGATCCCACCTCACCCGCATGACCTTTTATGTTGTCAACTCCAAGAACCTCGACAGCAATTGAAGCTCTCCTTCGTAGTCCAGCTCCCCAAGGCTTTTGCCGCTCAGAACTGCCCCAAGCTGCTGCTTCGTGACAAACGCTGTCAGACCGGCAACCTCTGATGTTATTCGTGCGGTCGTCGCTCGGCTCGTCAACACGCCGTTGCTCACAATCAGCCTCCACCAACTCTCCGTGTCTTTCACGTGAAAGTCCATGACAAAAGACTCCGTTGCAGCCCGAGGCCCATGGAGGCGGACGGAGAGGAGCCTGAGCCACTGCTCCACCGACTGATGGGGGCTTAGCTCCCGGGCCGCCAGCCCCGGACTGTGGCGCTGGGCCTTGCCTCCTTCTCCCTGGCGGAGGTCCAGCGCCCCGGTGAGGTAGAAATTCCTCCACGTCGAGTTCTCCGCGCCGTAACCGAGTTGCTCGAACACGGAAGCCAAAGCCAATCGGGCCTTTGGATGTGTCGGGTCCAGCGCGACCGCATGTCCCAGGAGCGTAGCGGCGAAGCGACGGTCTCCATCCCGCGCGTACTGCTCGGCTTTCTGAACCGTCGCCTCGATTCCGCCCATGCAGTCGACATAGCGTCTTGCGTTTTCCACGGGCGGATGCTCCCACAGATGGGCCGGGTTGCCGTCGAACCACCCCATGTAACGCTGATAGATGCCTTTGACATTGTGGCTGACAGACCCGTAAAACCCTTGTGCATGCCAGGCCCGCTGCAGCGCGGGTGGGAGAGTCAGGGTCTCGGCGATTTCGATTCCCGTCAGACCTCGATTCATCATTCGGACGGTCTGATCATGTAGGTAACCATACAGATCCCGTTGCTCCGCGATCAATTGCTGGATCTCCTTCCGACCCCAAGTCGGCCAGTTATGACCCGCACATAACACGTCCGATTGCTCCCCGAACAAGACCAGCGACTCGTCTAGATACCGCGCCCACGCCTTCGCATCGCGAACCAGAGCCCCTCTCAGGGTGATAATGTTATGCAGAGAATGCGTGGCGCACTCTGCGATGTAGAGCGCCCGATGATGCGGGAAGAAGAAATTCATCTCCGACGGCGCCTCCGTCTCGGGAACGAGCTGGAAGCGGATGCGCACCCCATCGACGACCCTCTCCTCCCCAGTTGCGGTGATCTGCTGATTCGGAGGGATCAGCGAGGGCGTCCCCGTCGAGACCGCCATCCCAATCCCACAGCCAATCTGTCCCTCCGGACTCTTGGGCAGTCGCGTCCCGTACATGAAGGCCGCCCGACGACGCATCGCCGGCCCCACATAGATGTTCTCACTCGTCGCTTCCTCCATGAACCCCTCTGGTGCGAGGATAGGCAACGTCCTCGCCTCCTCGAGGGACGGGATGACCCCGCGAGCGCCGCCGAAATGGTCGATGTGCGAGTGCGAGTAGATCACGCCGGTGACCGGCCGGTCCCCGCGGTGACCCCGATACAAGGCCAACGCGGCGTGGGCGCATTCCACCGAGGTCAGAGGGTCGATGACGATGACGCCCTTGTGCCCCTCGACGATGGTCATATTCGCCAAATCGAGCCCGCGAACTTGGTAGATCCCGTCGGTCACTTCGAAGAGTCCCTGCACGGAGGCCAGTTGACCCTGGCGCCAGAGCTTCGGATTGGCCGTCTGCGGGCATTCGGCGTCGCGCAGGAAGCCGTATTCCTCATTATTGTAGACAATCCGCCCGTCCGAGCTGCGGATGATGCATGGCTCGAGACCGGCAACGAAGCCTCGGGTGGCATTCTCGAAGTCGGTTCGATCGGAGAAGTCGGGCTGGAGCTGGACTGGTGGAGAGGACATGGTGTTCACGTTTGGTCGTCACGGCACTCAGCCGTGCGTCGGGGATTTATAGAAAACCGCAACATTGCTGCGAAGGTTTCGTTTGTTGCGCGCGACCGAGGCAGATATTGTTATTGACGTTAGTCGCGATGGCGATGTGGTCATCCGGGGCTGCGGTCCTATGCCGACTACTATACTCACATGTTGCGGCCGAACTCCGATCGGAAATCGGCGTTAAGCTGGCAGCGGCTGACTTTCCCCGGGAAGATAGTATTTCCGTCTGATGGAAGTAGTAATATGAGCGAGCTACTTACAGAGTGCCTGGTAGAAGAAAACGACCTAGAGGAGGAGGATATCTTCAGCTACTACTTTGACCCGGAGACTGCCTGCGACATCAACTGGGACTCAGACGCATCTAGCGTCTAAGGAACGAGAACTGGAAAAGACATTCTGGGGATATCAGTACCGCAAGTTTTAACCAATACCATAAGTGAGCAGCGACAGACAGACTCATTAACGACTTCATGGGAATAAGAAATGTAAGGCCCTGGAAAAGCGGGCGCTGACCAACCAATGTCCAGATGGTGCACGCAAGCGTCCAGATATCCCCGGGAAAAGACAGTGACTCTTCGGGTTCGAAGTGCATCTCGGGCGGAACCAACGTATACGGGGTGTTGGAATGATGGCGCATGCTCGTGGCTGGCATAAAAGACTCCCCATAGTCAGTGACAACGACGTGAGCCTCAGCTAGAGACACGCATTCGCTTGCTTTCCCTAACCAGATCGGCACAACAGCATTTGCGGGGACGCCGTCGGGAAGTGGACGCTCATCTAGACAGACGACTGGCTCGTGATGAGGTCGTCCATATTTTTCGTACAGTTGCTCTCCTGAGAGCACATCCATGCTCTTCGGAAGAAGAACCAAGAGGTTGCCGGGATGAAGGTCTGACAATGCATTAGCCTACTGACAGTGGGAACTGAGAGAAGGGACACATGATGTGTGTACTGACCAGCGTGGACAATCCCTCATGGAGATATGCCACGACTAAGGCTAGCTGGGCAGAGCAAACTCTGGCCACCGGCAAACGAAACAGGCGAAATGATGAGGCATCTTTGGCCTCGCTAGGCTCATCATCCCAACTGGTGTGACCATGCGCTGGTGTTCACCATTAGGCCCGGGGATAATAAACTCATCCAACATCGGCGGGATGCTTGCGCGGCCGGGATGGGACTGGGTCTTCGAGTCTGCAGTATCGGGTCGATGGAGAATATTTCTTTCCTGCGACTGCGCTAGATCACTATCTACGATGGTGACTTTAATGGCGACATATTTGTTAGTTCTGATCTCGTGCCATCCATAGGGTTGAGTATGCGCCAAAGCCAAGTTTATGCACGATGCAGTATTGGGAATTCAACCACTCTCCTATATTGATCAGATAGTAGCCTCCTGGACGGTATCGCTCAAGTTTCTCGACGTCCTCGATAGGCATGTATCTAATATTATTAGTTCTATGTGAATTGCCATCCCGAGCCACGGGCTTCAGTTTACTGGCAAACGCCGAGAATAATCTAGAATGTAGCAAAATGAAGCCGACTTGGTAAGATAAAAACGTGTTTGCAGCAACATGGAGGAATTGAAGCTCAAAACTACACTACTTGTCTGCATAGTATGAACTTGGTGGGGAACTAATGTGCTTCTTAATACTGCACAGGGCTTCTGCCGTGGGATTTGGTTACAAGAGGATTCTCCTAAGCAGAGCGCTAATTCCCAGAGAAAGGAGGGCAACGAAGTGAGGAAGAGTTTCCAGGCATTCAGTAGGTATGGGTAGCTATCGTCATCTTACCTAGCATATCTTATCGGTTGCTCCCATGCCAGGTGAAGGTTCTGGCCTTATACTTATTCCTGTGGATTGTTGACGGAAATCAGATACCATTCCTGGTAACACCACCAGAAGCAGTGGCATCAGTTTCTGGAGCCAGGGTTGGCAAGACGTTCCAGACTTTCCTCCTGCGGCAGCACTTGAAAGGGTGCGGTAAGAGTAATGCTGGAGCGGAATGACTTGCGAGCCATGCATGCACTTAGCGGGCTCAATTGGGTCAATACAGACTTGATTCGTTTCATTGAAATGAATTGCACGTGGTAGTTAACCAGACTAATTGTTTTCATTCACGCACGTTGTCTACACACCATTCCCTTGTTCTTTCCTTCCTTCTTGCCCTAGTTCCTTCCCAAATTCTAACAAGCCGCTAGTGCCATTAACCATGTCTACAACATCGATCTTCACTCGCTGGCTATTGTTCCACTACCTCGACTCACTGTCAATTCACTGAACTGCCTCGTGTATAGGGGTAATCACAGCCCTGACCTTCGCTCAGGCAGAAATCTCCTCCCACTCTATCACGCGCGACCTCTACATCATGACACCTTCTCTCTCTACAAGAAATCAAACTCGTTGTATCACTCTTGTTGTTTCCATAGGATGGAGCTCGGCTACCCATGACAGAAGACGAGTAATGCGGAGCAATGATGTCGGACAATGTAAGTCTACAGTAGCCTTTCAGGGAAGACTTGCTGACACGCTCAGGATTCTGAGAAAAAAGAAGCTTTTTTGATCAGCCCCTTCTGACGGACACTCACGGTGAGTTCGACAACTGCGGCTACCATGATGCATGGCTCATGGTACGGGGTACAGTGCAGTGTACCGATCCTCCACGCATTGCTACGAAAGGGCAACCAATCGTGCGGGTTGGCCGATGTGATAGCCCACAGCTTCTACCTCATGTGGCTGGTGAGATTGGGCGGAGTCAAAACAGACCCAGAAGGAGATCGAGGGACCTTGGGGTCGATGTAATACGAGAATACTAGCGCAGGCTCACAGTCTCCGATACCAGGATTTCAGGCAGCAGTTGAAGAATCCCCACCCAATCGGGACCACTTTGCGGAGCTATGCGGTACAGAGCTTGTACTAGAAGGGATTTCGAGTCTGATCTCGGGTTGAGCATTGAAGAGCTCCGATCGATCCTTGGCTCGCGTGCAAACGGAAGAAATAGGCCTGTCAGAGGCAACGTTTCCTAGTTCATCTGCGCCCACTCCATCTGCGCCCATTCAATCTACGCCCTCTCCATCACCTAAGAAGAAGTGTGCGACTTCTTCGCCCAACAAGGTAACGAAGCGCAAGGGAAAATAGGCAGAAGATCATCAAAAGCTGGGCGACCATTGCATAGTCACGACTATCTCGGGCTCGGGACACCCCGCAATGGACAGTCAGTTGCTAACATGACGGTCAAACAAGCGTTAAAGGCTCTTATCGAGGAGCGTTCTCGGGCCATTTGTTCCCTGGTATATTGATACCATTATCCTACCTACTTGGATTAATCGCTCCATTTTGGTGGGACGAGCCGGGCACGGTTCGCTGCTGACCAAGATGGTTGTGTATTACTTGCATGTGGTAAGATGATGCTTCGAGGTCTGATGGTTTGTTGTGACGAATGTCGAATGAAGACGGTCTGGCCTGATTTTCATGTCTTGGCAACAGTGCTCGAGCGAAAATGAGGTGACGGTGACTTGCTGGAGAAGATGCTGTGGCTCAACCTCCTGTTTCTCGAAACAGTGCTCGAGAGAATGTGACGTGGTGATTCTCTGCTGAAAGGAATTGGTTGTTGTGCCTTGATTTGTATATCTCAAATCACTGGAGAGGTCACTTCTATGCCCACAGATTATAGTGTCTTTATAGGACTCACAACTGTATCATCTTCATAAACCTATCCGTCGGGCCGAATGATGGAACTTCTCTGTTAGATATCAGACTAATTCTCTAAGCTAGCTATGTCTTTCCCAAAGTAAGGCTGATAAGAAGAGTAGCAAGCGCCACGTCAGCCGAATGAGGCGCCGGTCGGTGATAGGTGGTATGGTTAGCTGGATTGTCAATGGTTCAAAGCGAGTATGATGGGTCTTTCCAAGCTTCTGGGTGCTCTAGAGGTCCTGCGTCAAGTTGTCAAAGTCGAATCAGGCACTTTGATCCGCTCAACAATGCTACGCTCATATCAGCCCCATATGGTAGTCAACAACTACCGGAAACTGCTATCACTGACAACCGGCAAAAATATGCCTTCATAATATTCTCCAGTTACATCGTAGTCTCCCTAACGTCAACAACCGTCTGTAAACACATCCTCCGAACAAAGACCCATCCTACTCAACAGCCCCTGACAACCATCACAGAACAACAGCAGCAGCAAGCGCCACCGCAGCAACGCCCGCAACCACCATAGCCTCCCCAGTAATCAAAGGCCCCGCGCCCTGGCTCTTCGAGGCGGTCACCGAGTTCGGCGACGAGGCGTGCACCGTCCCGTTCGCCGTGCTCGTAAGCGTAACACCAGCAGTACCACTGGTCCCACCCACCGAAGTACGGTTCTTGGCACTCGACCCCGAAGTCCCAGCCGCGTCCGAGACCGTCACGGTAGCCGTCGGAACCGACGAGCTGAACAGCGTGAAGACCTCGTCGGTGGTGGCAGTGGCCGTCGGCGTCAGCGGGTCGGCGGTGATGGTGACGGGGACGCGCGGAACGTCCTGCGTGATGAAGGTGTACTGCATGGTTCGCTCGGCGGGCCCGATATCGGTAGACTTGGAATTCGCCGCGGACAGCTCCGAGGCTGGCGGGTTGGCTTGCACTCTGTTTATGGCGGTGCAGGTCGCCCGGGGCATGTAGTCGAAGGCGCAGAGCAGGGTTCCGAGCGTGCTGTTGTGCGGAGTACCACCGGGTTTGAGTTGAGAGCTGAGGTCAACACTTTTGTTTTCCGGGGAAGGCTTACTCTTCGTAGTCAGCGGTATTCGTCATGGAACTGACGATCTGAGTGGTCGATGGCTGAGCGATAACCGTCAGGCCTGCGTCAAAGCGGCAACTGGATACCTTCGGCGAGGTGGCTTTGGGGGGCAGGCAAGTGACGCTGTAGGTGGTTTCGTCCGTAGTCTTGGGGAGATAACATCAGCATATTGGTAGACAAGTGGGCACGCCTAATGAGGTCAAAGGGCTAACCTCGCCCATGATAGACGCGACGAGGCCTTCAGTCTGCGCTTCGCCCATTCCAATGAACATATCGGTCACGGTAGCCTGGGCGGCAATGAGCCCGGCAAGGAGCAGGACGAAAAGGGTCTTGAGGATCATGGTTGCGTCGTGTGGGGTCGGTTGGACTATGTGGAAGGTGCAAAGAACGAAGAGAGATAGAATGGGCAGATGTGGCGTGAGAGAACGATAGATATGAGGAGAGGATGTGACGAGAGGGGGTTTAGATAAGGGACGGAGGGAGGCTGGACTGAGAAAAGGATGTGTTACTCAGACCGGCAGTGTCATACCTTCTTGATTTAGCAGGGCAGCAAATCTTACCGGCCATCAACTGGGGTAGGTGGATGTTGCTCGAAGTACTGTCTGCAACAAATGACCGGAACAATCGAAGCGTCTATCCTTACAATTACTAGCTTTGAAACGAATTGGGCATATATAATACTTTCTCAATAGTCCTTCATTGGCCAAGAGGTCTTGAAGATGGGCAGTCTTGTTAGCCGGTGCGCCTGTATACAGCTGCTGTCCGTACTTCTCGAAGCCAGTGATGATAGCCTGTCCTTTATTACTAATAACCCACTGGGCAAAGCTATGCGCCACCTCGGCGTTTGTGGCCATATTGCCATTTATAATGTGGGCAGGATTGAGCAGAAAGTCACTAGAGGTGCCGGTCGCCGTCTTGTAGATGGTCGTCTGGCGTTGCAGATCCTCTCAGATGGTAAGGTACATGTAGGTGCCGCGGTCCGTGATGGTGTACTCTCCAGAAGGATAGCGGCGGTCAGCGCCTGGAAGGGATAAGCGATGTAATGGTGGTACCACGTGGAGTATGCCGTCCACGGAACCTAGTAGCCGGGAGATGAGCATCGGTGCGACAACAGCGGGACTGGAGCAACGTAGCTGTCCAATGCCAATCCAAGGGTCAGATTCCTTGATGCTGGTGGCGGACTTGTCATACCGTGGAAGAAACCTGGTACGAACAGGGCCGATGCGGTTCTTGGCCGCAGTGTAGAGGCTGGAGAACATGGTCAAGATGTCGCTGGTCTTGCTCAGTTGAGCTGTGTTGGAGTGAGGACCAGTCAGCATAAAGTGGTCGCGCCAGGCGTACCAGACAGGGCCTCAGTCACGCCCTGTCGGATAGCAGCGACTCTGCGACAAGATCGTAGGCCATGCCCATGTCCACGGTGTCGCCTTTACGGTAGTGGATGGACTCGGTTGTGTTACTCTTGTACCAGGCGGGCTTGAATGCTGCGGAACCGTTTTTCACGCTCGACTTGATGAAAGCATTCGTCAGAGCTGTAACAAGGCGAGGGATCAGTCAACTAGACATTGCAATGGGCGACTCTAGCATATACTGATCCTGATAAGTCCACTCTTCCCAGCCCCGCCATTCCCAATGCGGAGGTTCACGTCGGTAGCAGAGTTGCGGCCTCCGTTGTACAAGGCAGTCGTATCGCCGGCGACCGCGAAAGTAGCTAGTGTCTCGAGTAGCGTACTATGATAAGGAGAAGCTGGATGCAGAAGAGTAAGCATAGTGACTGGCGCTTGATCCTGCTTCCCTTGGGGTGCTGCGCCTGTTGTTCAACACTTTTCTGATCGAAGGAACCATACATGTCTCGAGAGGCCCTTGCTCGATTAGATGATTGCGTTGGAACTCAGCCTCGAGACTTATGTCATTGAGTCTAGAAGGAAGAGAGAGGTATGAGTCCATGCAGCATGGTCAACTGCCTTGGAGCAAGCTTCCTGACACGGGTCTCAAGCCTGAAGGTCACTGGAGCGATACACAGCAAGGGTACGAGCTCGAAGACAGAGTATTTTCAAACAAGATGGAGAACACTGGAGGATAGAAAGACAGTGGACTCGGAATGTCGGAATTGCATGCGAACAAACTCCTGATTGATATGGGAGGAAGGAATCCGGGTGCACGCTAGGCCCCTTTCGAGTCCTCCTTCTCCTGCCAGCCTTAATGCTAAGGCTACGAGTTTCATTACTCAAACTTCGCTACAGCTCAAAGGCATCCTTTCTCTGCTTTACTAGCAATTAACTCAGTCACTGCATCGAACCCACAATCTATCTTGCCACTCTATCTCTCGTCATTAAGCATTACTCTATCACTCAGGTCGCGGTCTAAGGTTCATAACATCATAGCATCATTACCTCCATCCCCTAGACCTCTTCCACAGGAGTAGTAGGTCTAGTCGCCATTATCTCCTCCTTGCGCCTCCTCTCATCCTCCATCAACCGCTGACAGAACGGACTCTTCCGCCGAATCCACTCCCCCTTGTAGATGAACATCACTGGAATAGGGATACACGCCAGGCTCGCGAATCCCAGGATCGACGTCGCCCACCCCACGCCCAGCGCAGAGTACATGGGGTCGGCCGCAAGCGGGAACACTGCACCCAGAATACTTCGGGTAATGAGCGAGGCCGACAGGGCGCTCGCGGAGTAGATCTTGTACGCGTCGGTGACATAGGTCAGGAGCGAGATGAAGAGGATCTGATAGCCGACGCCAAAGAACAACCCGGAGAGAACGGGGGCCAGCCAGTAGACGTGGCGGTCGGCCGTCCAAGCAAGCCAGAAAAGACTGATAGTGAGACAGGGGCCACCGACCAGGCAGATCGGCAGGCGCTGGTACTCCGGGATGGTCGTCCACTTCTTGCCCTGGGCTTTGGCCTTTTCATAATAGATGTCGTAGTAAAGAGAGATGAGGCCGGAGGAGGCCGCGCCAATGCCAACTGTGTTGTTCATTAGCATCGTAGACATAGCTGGGACCTGCGAGAGTCATACTGGGTAGAAAGCACAGTGAAGTCTGCTGCACATTGAAGCCGTAAGTTCCTGTACAGCCTCGTCAGTATACCATCCAAAAAAGATGCTTCGAAGTGCGTTACCTTCAAAGATAATTGGGTATGCTGCAAAGCAAAAGAAAATGAGAGCATAGGCAAATGAGATATAGAGAGCACTGAACAGGATAATAGGCTCAAAGATGACCATAGTGATAGGTCGGGTGAAGATTTCAAGCAGGCTGGAATTCACCTCCACCTTTTTCAACTCCAGCTGGGAGATGTAGTTGTCTGTCTTGAAGGTGCTGTTCAGCTCCTTCACTTTCTTTTTGAGGATGACGCGCGCAAAAGTCTCTGCTCGGCAGCCCGTCAGTATGCAAAAAGTCCGCGAAACGGCATATCACTGTATACGTACCCGGAAGAAATAGTGCACCAATCCAGCAGCTTCCAGCCAGTATCAGGTCGATGCGAAAGGTCCAGCGCCAACCATATTGGGCGCTGCACCCCGACATGATTGGTCCCACAATTGGCCCGAAGCTTGCAGCCTATTTCGCTCGGTTATTTTGTGTCCAATCGAATTCAGCAAGGGGGTGCCTGGTCAACGTACAGACATATAAAAGGTCATCACACGGCCACGGTTCCGAGGGCTGGAGAACATGTCCGCATAGACACCACCAACAACGGTCTGCGGTGCAGCGCCCATCGCACCACAGATGAACCGGAAGATCAATAGTGATGGCCAATTCGGAGCGAAAGCACAGGCAAGTGTCGCTAGAACAAAGACCGTGAAGCTTCCCAGTAGAACAGACTTCCGTCCAATGGTTTCACTCAGCGGACTAAATCCCAAGGGACCGACGACATATCCGATGAGGAAAACTCCTGTAGGCAGCACCTTTTGCGAGCCTCCATCGACGCCAAAATCCTCCATAATGTACGGGACCACATTGCTAGGCAGGGAAGACGATATTCCTGAGTTCAGCACAAGGAACAATGCGGCGAGGACTGTATAGATCTTCTTGGCCTATCGGTTTGTAGCAATTGGTCAGCTCATGGAAGATGACACTGCGGGCACCGCACCCAGAACACATACAGGACTCCAGTTGGTAGGATGTGCTATCGAGTTGTGATCAAAGTCTACCACAATTTGATCGTCCATCAGTCTGGTCCACTGATATCCCTCTATAAGCTTTGCACTCGGATCTTCTGAAAGGCCGGATAGAATTCGACCGTTGTGACTAATATGCTTATCATCTGGTATGTCGCATGAGAAGTGAACTCTGCAAGGATGCGCTTCGAGTTCTTACCTGCAGCAACAAGTCTGGGTTTAGAACCCTCGACTTCTGAATCTGGAGCCATGATTTCTCTTCAAACCAAATGAATCAATCTCAAAAAACAAGAACGATGCACCAGAATCCGATTGTGTTGTGTATACCCTCATCTTTCCCGCCATTGCGGGCAACGAACGTTATATAACTTTGTCACTTGTGGGACCCTACAGAAATGAGGTATCAGTGAGTCACGATAACAACGTAACCCTGCAAGCATTGAGGCATTTGATGGAGCTCTTGGCTTAGAGTATGTCTTGAATGCCCAATGGGAGACCTTGTTTATTCGGATCCTGTCAATCGCCAGATCGGGGCCGGTCCGGCCCCGGTGCAGCGGGATGCCCACACAACGGCCCCGACCTGGAGCCGGTTCACAAGTTAGATGTTGGCAACACAGTCTAGAACTTCGTGAGTCCAGAATTTTCAGTAGCCCGTCATGCAGCACGCTAAGGGCCCACTCCAAGGGACGATCACCGGCCACCAGGGCACTTATGCAGAGAGTCCCAAGCCCGTTCTACAGCATTGGCTGGGATATGACCCATGTCCGGTTGGCGAGCCCACCGCAACTTTGTCGCAAAATTGCCTTCTCACTCGCATACCATTCTTGACTTTCTGTCGACATACAGATTACCGCATGTGATACTCGACTGCGCGACAAGCGTGGCTTCCACAGACGTGTCAGGGATTACCTGTCTTCGTGCGGACCACCCATACATCACCCATACATCCCCTGTCCCCACATTGAAAATGTACTGCTAGCCATAGTATGCTGCTGTTTCAGATTGTCGGTTACTGCGGCATAGAAGGCATGGCAGGCAGAAAATCGAATATGTCGTTCTGCTCTTCCTCGAACAAACCGAACGAATCTGCAATCGGGTGACATAGATTCCAGTTGGGAGCTTCCATTGGTCCTGGTGGCCGGGGTGGAAACTGCCTGGGAGGGGCAGATCTGTCAGTATTGGGTATCGAAAGCAGGTCAGTGTCTTTGACCCCTTGGTGAATCGCCTCCGTGGCTCCATAGCTGGGTTGCTCTGACGGTGCCGATGCAGACGACATATGTACTTTATTGCCGTCTAGATCCTTGTCCAAAACCAGTTGCTCGTTCGCACGCCTAGTTTCTCCATGGACATGGAAGCAATCGTCACCCTGTCCGCGCTGGCTCGCGACAAGCGCGCGACCATAGTTGACAAAGATCGACACAGTTCGGTGGATATCCGGGTACGGGGGTTGCTTTAGAAGGTCACATATGAGTTGGGCCCGTTCAAGTAGCAGGTCTTGATCAATTAAGTCTGGCCTCCATCTTGCGATTCGTAATGCGAATGTTGCTGTATGGGGTCAGATGTTCGGTGTCACCATGCACAATAGGGATTATGGCTGTTGGGACCACTCACTGACAAATGCAATTGTCAAAGCTGGATATGTAGGAGTCCATGTCAATTGACATCGATATGATGTTTCTGATATGATCAAACCCAGTTGATCCATGGTTGCTGAGGCAAGCGAGCGCCATAAGTGGGAAACATCCGGATCATCTGTGTCTGAGTCCGATTCGGTGCTGCCACACTGTAGCTTTTGGATCCGCGCCAACGATGCACAAAATGCAAATATCCGAGCATAATTATGCATCAACTTGAGACTGCAGCGTTGAAATGCGCCCGCATGAAAGCCGTTATCTTCAAGAAACTCTCAGTCAGCATCTCCGAGCATGTTGGGCAGAAATGGGGTCTTACTATTATGAATCTCATCCCAGGTATTCCACCAAGTCTGTAACCTTGCCATGACAGCCGGTAATTCAACGCCAACGATTTCGTGAATGGTCTTTGAGTTCTCAATAATCATCCGGAATTGACCTAACAAGATCTGTGAAAATAGAACCGAAGAATATAGTCAAGCGTGCACTTACTCCGAAGCTGGTGAATCTCAATAATACATATCGTACGCATATCGCAGGGCAATGAAAGCGGGTAATCGAGGAATCTGCGTAGTTTCGTAGTATCAACAGCGTCAATTCTTGATTTCCGACCTGTGCCGGACGCCACATCCAGTTCGAGTGTGAAACTGATCAGCCAAGTCCTGGTCTGCCACACCAGCTTCCGCTCTTCCAGAGTGGCGGAGAGAGCACTCCGAGGCACAGTTTGTTGTGAAAGCAGGGTGTCTAGCGACTTTTCGAGCCCCGAGTCAAGGGCAGTGCGTAGGATCAGCGCTGTCGAGAACCATGTTTTCTCCGAGTAGGCCGCGAGCAGAACCATCCCCTGAACAGTTTCGACTTTAGTTGGTCGCTCGAAGAAACTGTCCTCCGCCAGTCGCTGGGCTTCATCCTGCAGTACCCGCTGGAGGTGGGTGTTGCTTCGCAGGTCGAGGACAGCCCGGCTGGCTATGTAGATCATGACCGAGAAGCAGAAGAGCGAGCGCGATCGGATCGAAT